TCCATAGCCCGTGTATTGACGGACGCGTGAATCTTCGTTCCCTGAGAAAGGACAAATTAATCTTGAGATATTCGGAGAACATATAAACTTTGATGAGGTTATTGCTAAATAGATCAGATCGGAAAGATAACTAACTTCACTATCGACGAGAATGAAGTCGAGTGTGCGCTGAAAGGAGGCATCCCAGTCTTCAACCCTCCGGTAAACCTTCACCCTGATGGTGGTGGGCTTTCGGCGAGTGGAGAACGTATGAAGCTCTTTCAGAAGTGAAAACATCCCTGCTTGTTTTGCCATCCGATCACTCCGATCTCCTTCTGGTCCATCTCCGATCATCACCTCCGGTCCCTCCTTCGCCATAAGCTCCGAATACCTGATAAATGCACCCCAAATGCAATGGAAATGCAAAATGCTAACCTAAAGGCTAAATGATCCTAAGTAGACTAAAGTTACTCTAAATGTTATGAAATCGGACTCAATTATATACAGAACTATGCAGTATGAGAAGCTAAATGTATGCAAATGTTGAGTACATCAGCATTGCACAGCCCAAATGGCATCCTTCGATAGGCAAAGGTACCATAAGGGCATGTGAAAGTGCTTTTCTCCTGATCATTGGGGTGGATCGGGATTTGGAAGAAACCATTGTAACCATCAAGAAAACAATAAAAATGATGGTTTGCTAATCTTTCTAACATCTGATCAATGAAAGGGAGAGGGAAATGATCCTTTCTAGATGCTGAATTTAGTTTCCTATAGTCAATACACATGCGATGCCCCACTATTGTTCTAGTGGGAATCAGCTCCTCCTTGTCATTTTTATGACAGTGATCCCCCCTTTCTTTGGGACGCAATGAACTGGAGATATCCAAGTGCTATCATTGATGGGATAGATTATCCCAGCATCAAGCAACTTGAGTATCTCTTTCTTCACTATTTCCTTTAGATTGGGGTTCAATCTCCTTTGAGGTTCAATGCTAGACTTACTTTCATCCTCTAGATGAATCCTATGGATGCATAGGTCAGGGGAGATTCCCTTGATATCATCTAGAGTGTAACCTATTGCTTTTCTGTACTTCCTCAGTTCAACAAGCAAAGCACTCAACTGTTCAGGTTCCAAATCAGAGTTCACAATGACAGGGTAGGTTGAGTTTTCACCCAGAAATGCATACCTGAGGCGCTCAGGCAAAGGTTTGAGGTCGACTTTAGGCGCGTTGGGCTCAGACCAATCTCCTTGAGCTTGCTCTTTGCATTCAGTCCCCAGCTCGATCGAGTTCGTTTGTTCGAGGCCCGACTCGATCGAGCTCTTGATCGAGCTCACTGCCATGAACTCGCAAAGTGGCCTGTCCAACCCCTCAATGCTCAGAATGCTTGGAACTGGTCTGAAGGTGGTCTGAAGCAACATTTTTGGCCGGTCGAGTTGAGGAACTCGACCGGTTGGTCGAGTGGACGGTCGAGCTGGTCTTCAAGATGGCTTCTCCCTTCTTCCTTTGCGTATCCAGTTGAGCTGCTTCCATGTGCCAAGTCCCTCCATGCTCCTTATGTCCCATATGCTCCAGAATGCTCCAAAAGACCTATTTCAAAGGACCAAACATGCATATGTATGCAAATGCAACCTAAAACTAACATGAATGCATAAGAAGAGAAAAGGAACAAGATATGATGCAAATGAAAGCTAAAACTATGCAAAAGATGCATAAAAGATGTGCTAAAACTATGTAAAATGCAAGTACATCAACACCCCCAAACTTGAACTTTGCTTGCCCTCAAGCAAACAAATAGAACAAGAAAGAGATGAGGTTTGAAAATAAGCTGATTCAACACTTAAAAACATGTCCTCAAAAGCGATTTGCTAAATGTCCAACTTAGAGATTCTAGAATGCAACAAGGTGAGAGATATTCATTAAGATTTAACCATGCTTATCAACATCAATCCCACTTCACAGTCACTCAAACAGTGCATTCAAATCAGCAAATCCCTTTAACATTCATTAAGCAAAAACAGTGAACCAAAAACATGCAAGATCAATCAACTCATTTGGTTTCAAGGGTTTATGGGTCAAGAGACAAAGAGGGTCTCTTTTGTATGGTGGTTTAGTAACAGGGATCTCTCAAGAAAGTGGCTTTGCTTTGGCAGAAGGCTAAGTGTTAGAACCAAAGATGATGCAAGAACAGCAGCTCGAGCCGCCTAATCCTAACTCGATCGAGTTCAACACTTAGAGCTTTTTAGAACAAAATCCTAACTACCCTTTTTGGCATTTCGCCTTTGAAACTGAGGAGCTTTGCTCACTTTTCTTTTAAGAACTTCCTAGGGAGAGGCTTCTTGAGGTAACATCTAGCGGTTTGGGATTTTCTAAACACTTAGGGAACTTTTCTTTCCTTTTTGGACACTTGAGGCTTTGCCTTCTTTTCATTCTACTTAGAACCCTTTTTACTTTCCTTTTTTAACTTCCCAAACCTTTACTAGACCCTTTTAACACTGCCAACTCCCTGGACTTAACCAAACTCTTTTTCCTTTGGGTTTTTCCCAACTTTTACCACTTTTCTGGTTTTTACACCCAACTCGATCGAGCTCGAGTTGGCACCCCCAAACTTAGCCTGAAAACAATCCCAAGAGAACTAGACAACTAGAACTACTGCCCCTGCCGGTTTAAACACAACACCTTATGCTAAGCAAAGCCAAGAAAGGTTCTCACATTCGCACAAGAGATAATAATGGGGTTTGAAATGAAAAGGCTTAGGTTTAAGGTGTGGTAACTGTCTCAAAGATAGAGATCAGCTATCTGGACAAGCAAAAGGGATATGAAAGTGTAAAGAATGTCCAGATATGTATGTGGTAGCCATGAGTTGAAATCAAATGCAAGCATTGGTAATTAAAGATCAAGTTATGGTTCAAATAGATAGGGAAATGCATCAAATCACAGCAATGGTTGAATGAGATGTGCATGCAGTGATATGATCAAGATAAACATGGTTCTTGCTGCTCAATCAATCTCACCCTAATGCACAAAAGAATCTAAAAACAGGGCACTCAAGAAATCGCAAAAGATGGACAAGTTTTCAAAGTCAAATCAACAATGCAAGTGAAAAATGCAATCCTAAACAAGTCTAACAAATATGAATGCAAAAAGATGAAAATATTTTTGGATTTTTTGAAAATTTTATGATTTTTTTGGTTTTTCTATGCAAAAGATAAATGAAAAACTAAGAACAAAGAAAACAAGGTTAAATCATCTCTTGAACCCTCCCCCAAACTTAAATCACACAGTCCCTTGTGTGAGAAAAATTTAGTGAAAGATTCAAGAGGGCAAAACCAAGAAAAAACAAGAACAAATGCAAGAAAATATGAAATGGTATATACAAGGGTTGGTGTTTGGATACCTCAGTGTCCCCCAAAGAACTGGGAGACTAGGTCGTGGTCTGGAGATGGTAGACGGCCATCAGGAGCGCTCCACTATGTTCGGCTCACTCGATCGAGCTTGCTCTTGACTCGATCGAGTTGTCCTCGAGTTAGCCACTCTTCTTCCTAAAACCTGCTCCTGTGAGACTCAGCCAAGAAAAATCATAAAAATAAAAGGATAAAGTATAAATACATAAGATAGACATGGGAATTCCTCCCAAGTGAGCTTGTTTTAGGTCTCTTAGCTTGACCTTACCCCTTTTAGGCCGGGGTTGGATCTTCTAGAGGAGTGATGATCTCCTCTGTGGGGGTCATTCCTAGATATGGCTTGCATCTATGTCCATTCACTGTGAATTCCTTCCCCTCTTGATTGAGTAAAGTGAGGGACCCATAGGGTAAAACTTCGTGAATCTTGAATGGTCCCGCCCACTTTGACCTCAGCTTCCCGGGAAACAACCTTAGCTTGGAGTTATACAAGAGCACACTGTCCCCAACCTTGAAGTCCTTAAGGCGAATCAGTTTGTCGTGGGCTGCCTTGGTTCTCATCTTGTAAATCCTAGAGTTCTCATAGGCATTCATTCTTATCTCCTCCAGCTCAAACAAGTTCATTACCCTCTTTCTTGTGCTGCCTTTATATCAAAGTTCAGCATCTTTACTGCCCATAAAGCCTTATACTCGACCTCCACAGGTAAGTGGCAGTCCTTCCCATACAGCAAATTGAAAGGAGACCTTCCAATGGGGGTTTTGTAGCTGTTCTATAAGCCCAAAGTGCCTCATCAAGCCTTGCTGCCCAGTCTTTCCTAGTGAAGCTCACAGTCTTCTCAATATGGCCTTGATCTGTCTGTTGGAGACTTCAACTTGCCCACTGGTTTGAGGGTGATAAGGTGTGGCGACCTTGTGCTTGACTCCATGGCTTCTCATCAACTTTTCAAACACCTTGTTGATGAAATGGGAGCCTCCATCCGAAATAACAACCCTTGGGATGCCGAACCTTGGAAAGATGATGGTTCTGAAAAGCTTGACAACCACCTTGGCGTCACAGGTTGGGCAGGGAATGGCTTCAATCCATTTGGATACATAGTCTACAGCAACCAAAATGTAGTTGTGCCCGTTTGAGAAGGTTTGAAAGGTCCCATGAAGTCTATTCCCCATACATCAAAGATCTCAACCTCTAGAATTGGGTTTAGTGGCATCTCGTCCCTCTTGGTGATCCCTCCTTTCCTTTGGCATGGATCACACTTGGAATGTAGTCTGCTGCATCCTTAAACAAAGTAGGCCACCATAAACCCAGATTGCAAAACCTTAGTTGCTGTTTTGAATGTAGCAAAGTGACCTCCGTAAAGCTGACCCATGGCAATGCTCTAGAACTCCTTGCACATCCTCTTCAGCAATGCATCTCCTGTAAATGCTGTCTGGTCCTCTCTTGTACAGGTAGGGCTCATCCCAATAGTAATGCCTAGCATCCTTGAAGAATTTCTTCCTCTTGTAAGCATCAAAGCTACTAGGGACTTCTCCGGACACCATGAAGTTCACTATATCAGCATACCATGGCAAATTCTCATCACGCAGAGCCTTAACTTCTTCCAGCCTGGCTTTCTCATCAAAACTCTCCTTCAAGATCATGATTGCCATAAGCTGTTCTTCAGGCATAGAATCATTGATGGGGATCATGTCTTCAACTCGCATCCTAGAGAGATGATCAGCAACTCCATTTTCTACTCCCTTTTTGTCCACAACTTCTATATCAAACTCTTGAAGCAAAAGGATCCATCTGAGAAGTCTTGGCTTTGTATCTTTCTTAGCGAAGATGTGTCTAAGGGCAGCATGGTCAGTGTGCACAATCACCTTGGATCCAACTATATAGCTTCGAAACTTCTCAAAGGCAAAGACTATGGCAAGGAGTTCCTTCTCTGTGGTTGCATACTTGCACTGAGCATCATCCATAGTCTTGCTTGCATAGTAGATGACATTGAGTTTCTTGTCTATCTTTTGGCCAAGCACTGCTCCTACTGCATAGTCAGATGCATCACACATAATCTCAAATGGGTGATCCCAGTTTGGAGCTTGTACTATTGGCGCAGACACCAGAGCATCCTTCAGCAAGGTCCAAGACTTGTGGCATTCTTCATCAAACTCAAAATCTGTCTCCTTGCACAGAAGCCTTGTCAAGGGTCTTGCTATCTTTGAGAAATCCTTGATGAATCTTCTGTAGAACCCTGCATGACCCAGAAAACTCCTTATGTCCTTCACAGTCTTGGGAACAGGGAGCTGCAACATGACATCCACCTTAGCTCGATCGAGCTCGATCCCTTTCTCGGAAATCTTGTGTCCAAGCACAATCCCTTCTCGAACCATGAAGTGGCACTTCTCCCAGTTGAGTACTAGATTGGTCTCCTCACACCTCTGCAACACCCTGCACAAGTTAGACAAACATGAGGAGAAGGATGCTCCATAGACTGAGAAATCGTCCATGAAGACTTCTACCATCTCCTCTATCAGATCTGAAAAAATGGAGGTCATGCACCTCTGGAAAGTAGCTGGAGCATTGCACAGCCCAAATGGCATCCTTCGATAAGCAAAGGTGCCATAAGGGCATGTGAAAGTGGTCTTCTCCTGATCATTAGGGTGGATCGGGATTTGGAAGAAACCACTGTAGCCATCAAGAAAACAATAAAAAGGGTGGTTTGCCAATCTTTCTAACATCTGATCAATGAAAGGGAGAGGGAAATGATCCTTTCTAGATGCTGAATTTAGCTTCCTATAGTCAATACACATGCGATGCCCCACTATTGTTCTAGTGGGAATCAGCTCCTCTTTGTCGTTTTTAATGACAGTGATCCCCCCTTTCTTTGGGACGCAATGAACTGGAGATATCCAAGTGCTATCACTGATGGGATAGATTATCCCAGCATCAAGCAACTTGAGTATCTCTTTCTTCACTACTTCCTTTAGATTGGGGTTCAACCTTCTCTGAGGTTCAATGCTTGACTTACTTTCATCCTCTAGATGAATCCTATGGATGCATAGGTCAGGGGAGATCCCCTTGATATCATCTAGAGTGTAACCTATTGCCTTTCTGTACTTTCTCAATTCAACAAGCAAAGCACTCAACTGTTCAGGTTCCAAATCAGAGTTCACAATGACAGGGTAAGTTGAGTTTTCACCCAGAAATGCATACCTGAGGCCCTCAGGCAAAGGTTTGAGGTCGACTTTAGGCGCCTTGAGCTCAGACCAATCTCCTTGAGCTTGCTCCTTGCATTCAGCCCCAGCTCGATCGAGTTCGTTTGTTCGAGGCTCGACTCGATCGAGTTCTTGATCGAGCTCACTGCCATGACTTCGCAAACTGGCCTGTCCAATCCCTCAATGCTCAGAATGTTTGGAACTGGTCTGAAGGTGTCAAGGAGCTTCTTGTACTCATCAGTTTCTGAGCTCACATATCCCTCTGAAGAATCCTTGGTCAAAGCAACTTGTAGTGGATCCTCTGTTGATAACTCTTCTAGAAGCTCATCTGCCAACTGATCCATTTCCTCAACATAAAAGAGCTGACCTTCTATAGTTGGTTTCCTCATTGTATCTTGATATCAAACTTCATCTTCAGGTCCTTTCCCAAGTTTAACTCAATTGTTCCTTCACAGACATCTATCATTGCTCTTGCTGTAGCTAGGAATGGCCTTCCTAGAATCAATGGATCTGTTGGTTCCTCATCCATCTCAAGCACAATGAAGTCTGTGGGGATTTCCACATTCCCTATCCTCAAAGGCAGGTCTTCAAGCATCCCAGTTGGTAACCTTATCGATCTATCTGCCAGATTCCGCAGGCTTGGTACTTGTGATATCCCAGTCTCTTCGCTACAGACAAAGGCATGAGGCTGACAGATGATCCTAGATCGCAGAGACTGTTTTTGAAAGATAGGGGTCCCAACATGCAGGGCAAAGTGAAACTCCCCGGATCTTCCTTTTTGTCGGAGATGACCTTCCGCTGAATGATTGCACTGCACTCGCGAGTCAACACTACCATCCCTTGTGCTTCCCTGGTTCTTTGCTGAACAGCATCCTTCAGAAATTTCTGATAAGGTGGAATGAGCATCAAGGCGTCGATGAAGGGCAACTTCAACTCAAGCTGTCTCATTAGTTCATCAAACTTGGCCTTGTGTGCTTCCAACAGTTGTTTCTTGAACCTTCCTGGAAAGGGCAGAGGGGGCTTGTATGGTGGTGGTCCTGCTGGAGTGTCTTTCTTCTTTGCAACAGGTTTAGCTGGTTGGCTGGAGTTTGCTTTGTCTGTTCTCTTCTGAGCTCGATCGAGCTCTGGTTTGTCTTGCAGTGTCTCAGTTTCTCCAGCTCGATCGAGTTCTGGTTCAGGGTTTTGTTCCAGCTCGATCGAGTTCGGGGTCGAGTTATCAGCATAGTCGACTAAATCCTCCCCTTCCTCGTCATCGATGTCCACAGCGATTTGGGGTGGGCTACCTCTACTCGGGAATTGCTTTCCACTTCTGATGTACTTGCATTTTACATAGTTTTAGCACATCTTTTATGCATCTTTTGCATAGTTTTAGCTTTCCATTTGCATCATATCTTGTTCCTTTTCTCTTCTTATGCATTCATGTTAGTTTTAGGTTGCATTTGCATACATATGCATGTTTGGTCCTTTGAAATAGGTCTTTTGGAGCATTCTGGAGCATATGGGACACAAGGAGCATGGAGGGACTTGGCACATGGAAGCAGCTCAACTGGATACGCAAAGGAAGAAGGGAGAAGCCATCTTGAAGACCAGCTCGACCGTCTACTCGACCAACCGGTCGAGTTCCTCAACTCGACCGGCCAAGCTTCAACTCGATCGAGCTGAGAAGTCAAAGTCAAACCCGAAAAATGTTGCTTCCCCCTTGACTTTCCTTTGACCCTAAACCTAATCCCTTTGTATTTAAAGGCTCTAGCCACGAAAAAACCACCAAGCTTTAGATTATTTTGTTTTAGTTTCTTTTAATTTATTGTACTTTTACTTTTTAGAGATCTAATCCATCTTTGTGTTCTTGAAGCTCTTGCTTCTTGAATCTTAGATCCTGGATAATCTCTCTTGTATTTGCACTTGCTTATTTCAATAAAAGTTGTTTAATTTCATCTCCTCTTTCTTATGATGTCTCTTTTATTGCATTTGCTTGTGTTTACATTCATGTGTAGTGAGTAGTTACCCATTGGGGTTTGAGATGGGATAGATTAGAGGTTTCATATGCTTAATCCTTCTAGCTTATGGTCTTAATCTAGATTCTCTCTCTTTTGGATAGATCTTAAGGCTACATGACTGATGATAGGATTTGTGTGTGGTGTGATATGAAATGAGGTGGTATGCAAACAGGGGTGAATAAAGATGATATGGTATGGTGCAATCACAATCAATCAATTCCTCTTAACCATCATAGTCATTGAAGTATAAGAGGTTATCAATCCAAAATGGGAACTTGTTACTCTTTGAGAGTATGAAACAACCTGAAAGTCAAGCAAGCAGTTATAGATTTGAAGTAACACTAACAACCTAAAAATAATGAAAAGCAGTGCAATAAAAGTAAACAAAGCAGTGAAGCGTCAGCTCGACCAAGAGCTCGAGTCGAGCTAGAGCAAAGTACCAGCTCGATCGAGTTTAGGGACGAGTTGAGACAAACAAAGCTAAAGGTGACGACTTTAACAAGATAAAGAGAGAATTAGGGTTCAAGACAGGGTTTTGCAATCAAAGGAATCTACACTTAATCAATCTAGCTCTTAAAACTCCTTGTATCAAGGCTTCTCTTGATATTGGGCTTCTCAATGCCTAGCCAACCCTTTCCCAAGGTGGAGGCTATCAACCAAGGAATGATCTCAGAAACAGGGGGTTAGCCAGTGAGAATCAGACCTTGGAGGCTATAGGATCATTGCCCAAACTAATCCATCCAACCCCTTAGACCTCTATTGTCTAGAGCAAGAGATATTGGAGCTCTTAGTGGATCTTTTCCAGCGAATGCCATCACTTTCGTGTGGGGAGTCGCCTAAGGACTTACAAGCCAGGGGTAGTGGTCATGTAGCCTTAAGATCTATCCAAAAGAGAGAGAATCTAGATTAAGACCATAAGCTAGAAGGATTAAGCATATGAAACCTCTAATCTATCCCATCTCAAACCCCAATGGGTAACTACTCACTAAACATGAATGTAAACACAAGCAAATGCAATAAAAGAGACATCATAAGAAAGAGGAGATGAAATTAAACAACTTTTATTGAAATAAGCAAGTGCAAATACAAGAGAGATTATCCAGGATCTAAGATTCAAGAAGCAAGAGCTTCAAGAACACAAAGAGAGGATTAGATCTCTAAAAGTAAAAGTACAATAAAATTAAAAGAAGCTAAAACAAAAGTAATCTAAAGCTTGGTGGTTTTTTCGTGGCTAAGAGCCTTTAAATACAAAGAGGATTAGGTTTAGGGTCAAAGGGAAGTCAAGGGGGAAGCAACATTTTTCGGGTTTGACTTTGACTCCCCAGCTCGATCGAGTTGAAGCTTGGCCGGTCGAGTTGAGGAACTCGACCGGTTGGTCGAGTGGACGGTCGAGCTGGTCTTCAAGATGGCTTCTCCCTTCTTCCTTTGCGTATCCAGTTGAGCTGCTTCCATGTGCCAAGTCCCTCCATGCTCCTTGTGTCCCATATGCTCCAGAATGCTCCAAAAGACCTATTTCAAAGGACCAAACATGCATATGTATGCAAATGCAACCTAAAACTAACATGAATGCATAAGAAGAGAAAAGGAACAAGATATGATGCAAATGAAAGCTAAAACTATGCAAAAGATGCATAAAAGATGTGCTAAAACTATGTAAAATGCAAGTACATCACAGGGGTAGTGGTCATGTAGCCTTAAGGTTTGCCCAAAAGAGAGAGATTTTTAGATTAAGAACATAAGCAAGAAGGATTAAGCATAAGGATCCCCTAAGCTAGCCCATCTCAAACCCTAATGGGTAACTACTAACTCCACATGATGAAATAAACAACCAAATGCATTGAAATAAACATCAAATGAAAGAGGAGATAAAGATAAACAACTTTTATTGAAATAAGCAAGTGTAAATACATAAGAGATTATCCAGGATCTAGGATTTAAGAAGCAAGAGCGTCAAGCACTACAAGAATAAGTCATTTCTGTAGCTCACGAATAACGCTATCATTGGTGTTAAATAGCGTTATTATGAACGCTATGTCATCGACAGCTATGATAGGTGACCCTATAATATAGCGTTAGTTTTGGCATGCTATGGTATACCTTCAACTTATTATAGCGTTATTTTATTTTGCTATAATATAGTACCCCATATTATAGCAGTCAGTTACGTCATGCTATGGTAAATACAGACATAATATAGCACTAATTGTTGTCGTTATAATATCGCACTTTGTATGTTAGCGTTTCTTTTGAGCTATAATACATTTTTCGTAGCTTCTTTAAAACGCTATAAATAGGCAACATTTTTTTTGGCAGTCTCAGAATATCCCATATTCCCCTGCTGTAGCACAAACTAGTTGCCATCTTAGTAGTGACACAAAGTGAAATTGACTCTAATCAACATCACTCGTAAGTCTCAAAGGAACAAATTTAGAAAACACATCAATCACTACATAATTCTCAAACCAACGGAGTCTACATTCATCGTCATTACATAAGTCTCAAACCAACGGAGTCTCAGACTCGTTTCAAACCGACATCAGTCACTACGTAACATAAGTCAAGTTCAGAGTAAATAATTCAAGATAGTAGCCCGAACCTCATAAGTTCTTCAACACATGATCACTTTGTCTTCTGGCCACGCAATGGATGTACCTATTGCATCCTCCATACATTCAATCTCAGAACACGGCCTCCAAACTGCTGCATCAGTTACTTTCACCACGTCTATCCAAACTCTAACAGCATTTGCACCCAAGGGAACAAAATGCACAGTCTGGTCTTGGTTGTTTGAAGCCCACCGACCTTCAGCGACAACACGGCTGTCCCCATTAACGTCCATCAACTTGAACACCACGCTGCAACTATTTGTTGTGTAAACCATTTTTCTTATACTCAACGCAATATCAAACACACACTTGATCATAGTAACAAGTAAATTACCGGAGATCTTCGAAGAGAGGATTGTGAAGGTGGCTGAGAATTCTTCATAGGAGCTTGTGGACTTGTTGGTGGGGATTTGCGGTATTCCCTTGTTGGTGCTTTTGAACTTGTCGCAGTAGGTTTTGCGCTTGCCGTCTTACAGGATGCAGATTTCTCTGATGCAGCGAAATTTCGAATCTGAGATATTTGGGAATTTGCATGTGTACCACCTTGAATTACCACTCTATTCGCAGGCCATGACACAGAGGACATCAAACAATCCTCAAGGTATGTCATCTCAGCTGTAGGCCTCCAAAGAAATGTTTGCGGAACATGTACCACTTCCACGTTTACTTTTACTGCATTTGGACCAAGAGGCAGACCGTTAACTAATGTTTTTGGGTCATCTGACTGCGAACGACATTCTCCAACAGTCTCATCTGAGCCGGACCAGTCAATAAGTTTGCAATTCCTAGAAGAACTACTCGGCATTCCCTAACAAACGCCGGAAAAAATGATTCAAGTTCTCGTATGAAGTACAGAACTATAAATGTATAAGAGTAAGAAAAATTACCTTGTTCGCAATGTCTTCTGTTTGGTCTAAAATCACATAGTTAGTGGCAGGCCATGCGATTACTTTACCTACTGCTTCCTCAATAGTGGACATCTGAGGTGCAGGTCTCCAAAGAAACGCACTTGGTGTAAATGCAATTTCAACCAACACTTTAACAGCATTAGGGCCTAAGGGAATGTCATTGACAAAATCATCCGGATCAGAGGAAAATAGAAGCCCTTCCGCAACGTTGTCATCATTTCCAGTCCAATCAACCAACAGACATCTAGGGTGTGATTTTTGGTTGACACTCTATAGACGTTTGGTTCGAAAATATGTCAGAGCCTTAAATGATATAATGTGTACATATTTCAATGAGAGAAGAACTTACTATAGCAGCTGCTGAGTTTTCACCAACTTCTGTTTCTGCCCACTGCTGCTAAAAATCATAATTACATTGTATAACATGTTAACTTTTTGACTAA